TTTTAGGGAAAAAGGGAAATCTTAATAATTATAATTGGTCTATTAAATAGATCAAGGGAAGAAGTATTTCTCACGGGTTAAGTAGAGGGATAAATGTTAATTAATGCATACTAGAAATAGATTAAAAGACAGGATGTGAATATTAAAGTGTGAAAAAGAACTTTTCATTTTGAATAATAAATAAAGAAAAAGATTTAGATAAAGGAATAGTATAAAATAATTAGTTGAAGCTTTTTATGGTACTTCAAAAAAAATTAACAAAAGAGCACACTGCTTATATATATATATATATATATATAAAACTCAACTTCATGACAATATTAATGAGCATTATAGGTTTTAGCTTTTCTTTTTAAGAACTGATTGTAAACTTCTCTTTTAGCTAAAACTGCCGAACTTTTTGAGTTGTCTATCGCTGTCTCATCTTCTATGCGTTGTTTTGCTCTACAAAAAATATGATTATTTTATCTATTTGTTATTTATTATTGAAATTTTTATAATAAATGTTTCTTTTACAACAAATATCTGGTTGTTTTCTTTATAAAATATCTTAGATATAAAATGGACTGATATGTTCTTCATTTGAAAACTTTATGCTCAAATAATATATATGTTACCGGCAAAGTATAAAATCCGGCATTGTATAGAATGCCTAAAATTAGCTGGTAAAGTATGAAATGATTTATATTTCACACATTGCCTAGGTATTCAATAGAATGCCAAATGAGAAACCAGCAAAGTATAAAATACATCTCCGATTCGTCATAATGTCATTCAAAAATGATAAATTCAAAACGTCATCCGATTTGATATTAATTTATTCGCGGATATAATTACATTTATTCGATATTTTAATACTTACTGACGATGGATTAGAAGAAACATCAGTTTTTGGAGTATCGGGCAAATATTTACCAGGCAATGGCACTTGACCTTAAAAAAATATCAGTGTAGGATATACCAGGCAAATGTATACCGGGCAGTGGCACTGAACCTTAAAAAAACATCAGTGTAGGGTAAACTGGGCAAATGTATACCGGACAGTGGCAGTTGACCTTAAAAGGCATCAGTGTATGGTATACCGGGCAATGGCACTTGACCTTAAAAAAACATCAGTGTAGGGTATACTGGGCAAGTGTATACCGGGCAGTGGCACTAGATCTTATATATATCACGGACATTTGCCAAAGGTCTAGTCATACTAGGTCTAGATAAGTGCCATTGCCCGGTATACCCTACACTTGTATGCCGGGCAGTGGCACTTAACCTTAAAAAACATCAGTGTAGGGTATACCGGGCAGTGGCACTTGACCTTAAAAAAACATCAGTGTAGGGTATACAGGGCAAATGTATGCCGGGCAGTGGCACTTAACCTTAAAAAACATNCTGTAACAGTATGGAAGTTATCGGTTGCAAGTTTGTTGACAGCAGAAAGTTAAAAATTATTTAGAATTTCCTTCAAATATTGAGCTTGTTCTATTTCTAAAAGATTTACCAATGTACTGAGTCGTTTTTTCAAGTTCTTCTGCCTTTTCCTTAGGGAAACTTTGCTTATTTGCTGCTAAGAAAATGACGTCCGACTTTGCCAATGATTATAATGGAACTAAATGCCTGATATTTTCAGGGTCCCGCTAGAGGGCGTACTCAAGCGTTGCTATCGCGAATTGAGGTAATTTAGAAATGAATCGAGTGATCTTACAACTATTGGTTCATTCAATAAAAAAATATTTGTTTTGGATTTGTTTAACATTATGGTTGCCTCATTGAACAAATTTTACAAGAAAATAAATATATTGTCACTATTTTAAAATTATAAATTATATTTATTTTAATTATGCAATTTAGTTAAAAGAAGTTAAATAATCAATAAAAGTAATAATAATGTTTTTGAAAGTATTATTAATAATGATAATAATAAGCTGCTTTCTTTATCGTTGAATTCATCAAAATCTACCAAATTTTTCTGCTCATAGAACCACAGTTTCACGTAGAGTAAAGCATCTTCAATCATATGCCATGGCTTAAAAAAGATAATCTACGTTCAAAACAAACACGTACAATGTTTGTTTTGATTTTGTTGTCGAAGTTAAATGATATTCCACTACGTTAGCGGGGTTTTTTAACTTACAAAGATGTGCTAAATCTCTCCTTTTCACTTTCGTATGTTTGATATTCTTTCATTGGCTTATGCGCATTTCACCTGAACTAACGCATGCTCAGTAGAAGTGCACGCTTACTTGAAATCTTACGGACGGGAGGTAACTTCAATTTGCGAAATCTACCTATTGTTTCAGAGTTTCTTAGCTTTAAAACTCTTGATCAGTTGTTCATATGCTGCGATATTTGCAAACGCTGTAAAGTATGTTAGCGAATTAACCCGTTTTGTCCCGAATTTATAAATTGAAATGATACAAAAAGTGGTTTCAAGGAAAAAGTGGTATAATATATTATCGAAATTAATTGGTTTTTCTAATGTTAAGGCATTCAAAAAGTCTTTGATAGATTAAAAAGTACTAGTCCTAGTGATTAGATTTTACTGGGCACCTGGGCCGCGAAGCGGCCCCTATCCCATTCATCTGGAATTTNCCACCATAATGAATGTCTTTGAAAAAGGAACTGTCCTAAATATATGACGCTGGGCGTTAACCGGTTAAAAACTTGTAGAATAAGAAAAATTGTGCCAATTCCTTAAAAGCATCACCACATGATAACCGTAAACAACCAGGCTTTCCCAGGATATTATACATTGCCTTTGCCCCAAACTTCCTCAGCAAATAATTTTCGTACAGTGAAGCTACAATTTCCTACAATGAAAGTACATTACGGCTCTATTCTATCCTTAGCGATACACTTTAGAACATACTATAAAAGTCGGCAATAGATTATGAAAAACTTGCCGGTAATGCTTTCTATCTTTACTCGTATAAATAAGTGAAAGTGACATCCATTCATACAGAATTAAACAGAAATGCATAAATTTCTGACTACCATTTATTTTTAAATAGAAAAAGAAATTTAAAAAAAAAACTTGATCAGTTTTGTTATGAAAATTAGGTCAGATGAAATTTCTCAGAAAACAGTTTCAGACGAATTTTTTCATTTCAGCTTACGGTTTCACCTGCTTCTTTGTCTTCTAAACCATTCGGTTGTGGCAATCTCTGTAAAATACCTTTCTTTCCATCAAGTAAAATATAATCACCTAAAATATCAAAACATAGCATCTAAATAATGTCAATAAAATAAAACCTTATTTCAAAACAGTTAATTAGCAAATTTAAAAAAATCTTGAAAAGTTTTAAAAATGAATAAAATGAAAGAAAAGATAAACAAACTTAGTACTTTTTTAAAATAAGAAGTGAGATCTAAGCAGGGTTCGAAAGCATCCAGGAAATAACTGTTTATAAACACATGCCTGCCAACTACTACTCCTTTCCATAAATGTCTACCATTCTTCAAGATATTTTACAAAAAGCGTAGTAGTTGGTAGGGCTGAGGAGAGGAAGTGTAATCACCCCAAGCATGTGAAAGACAGGGCTGCCAACTACAGCGCTTTTTGCAAAATGTTTCACGAAGTGGTAGACAATTAAAAATCAAAGCCTTCAGAATTTTTAGGTAATTTTTCGAAAATTTTAAGGCCTCTCGTCAAGAGAGCTGGTACAAAATGTTGTTGCATAGGAACTTTTAAATCATTTATAAGTAATGAAGTGGAAAAAAAAGTTTAAATGAATAACAAATTAAAACATTAATTTAGTTACCACTAGAATAAAATTTTACAAAAACGGTGGAAAGATTGCAGCCCAGTTAAAGTTACCTGTTTTAAACTGCTTTGTGGCTCCTCGTACGCCGACAACACACGGCAGGCCATATTCCCGGCTCACAACAGCTCCTGAAATGAGTAAATATGAATGTTAATTTCTATTCGATATAATCGTACTACTTCAATTAATTTCGCTAGAACCGTAGTGGATTAGGGGACAGAGCGCTCGTCTTCCGATGAGACGACCCATGTTCGAATCCAACCTTCGTTGGTCGATATGAATTCTGCTCCACACAGTCACAGTACTGACATGAAATATCATCTGTGGTAGAAATATTCTAATCCCACAGCTGTCGGGTTAACCGGGGGAAGTTTTGTGGTTTTCCTCTTCCTGTATCATGTATTGGGAGAAATTTTTCCTTTCATGGAGGACTTTTTATGGATTTACGTTACATGCAGTGGAAATCCGCATTTGCATTACATGGAGAGGAAATTCACGAAAACCTTCCACGGTTAGCCTGACGGCAAGGAGATCCGTCTACCACTGGGGATATTTTGCATCAGCACTGTACTCGGTTCAAGGCAGATGCGGTGTTCGTATACACCAGCCGTCACTGGCATTCAAACCTGAGTCACCTCAGTCAAACGCTCTATCTCCTGAGCGACAACGGCTCATTAAGAAATATTTATCAAATCATATGGAGAACTCATTCTTTGGGGTGTAGCGCACGAACCGGTGGTTCGAGATAGTTTAAAAGTGAACAAATTAGACAGCTGTGTCTTTAAATGTATTTCAATCAAATAATACCACGGTTTAGAATTGGGTACTGACAGCTCGAGAAGTGAAATGATTATGCCTAGTCATGTGGTTGAAACCATATTAAATTGAATACCTGTAAGTGACGTCACGCGTGTGCTGGTTTCTGAATCGACACATGCCCTGATTTACCTACGATGACGTCACTTGCGGGTATCCAATTGTGAATTAGTATACGGTACATACATACAAACATTCTGTTTTATTAACATAGATTTTATAAGTCTAACTTAGAACATTTTGGTCCATAATTACAAACTATCAACCGACGCATATGGGTTGATCAAAAACAATAAGAACACTCGTATACTAATTCTATCGATACAAGTTTTCTTTTAGCAGATTTGGAAGATTTACTGGGCAAAAAATTGTTGGAACAGTTTCGAAATAATTCCATAGGGTTGTATGATTTCCATAAGAATGCTTTTTCAACAATAGTGGAATATAAAAAAAAACTGCTTTTAACTTCCTACTCTCATCACGTCGGAGAGTGCGAAGTTCGTAATTGAACTCTGAAATCATAAATGATTCAAGATTTAGAGAGAATCTGTAATTTTTTTTCTGTAGCGTTGTGGTAAAAGCATATCTGCAAACTTGGACAGTAGCTGAAAAAGATTTTACAAAGTGGTAGTAAAAAAACAACAAAAATGAAAATATTTCCAAAAATTTTTTATTTAAAAACTTAAGGGCTAAATAAGCAAAAAAACAGCTCACTTCATGTCTTTTAATTATTGAATTGTCTTGGTAGTTAAAGATTTTTTCGGAGATTTAAATTGAAGACTTATAACGTCTAAACGCTTTCACTTATTGCTACCACTATGAAAAATTTTTTTTATCGAGCTTATTTGTTTGCATCTTGAATTTATTGAAAAAAAATTATAAATTACAATTCAATTCATGATGTAAAATATTACATCATGAATTGAACTGCAATTTATAATTTTTTTTTAAACAGGGTGGTAATCAAAATTATTGTAAAGTTAACTTAAAATGATCAAATATAAAACAAAAACGCGAAAACTTACTACCACTATAAATAATCAAGAAAAGTATGACGTCAAAAGTGGTAGAATGTGGCAACTCACCGTGTGATATAAGTCCACCGAGTTCTGTCACAACTCCAGAAATAATCGGGAAATATGGACTCCAACCGATGTCTGTACTAAAAGCAATTAAGATTTCTCCTGGCTGAATAAAATAGAATTAAATTATGTAGAGAATTTCGAACATCATTTATTTAAGAGTCATTTAATAGTGTTTTTAATGATTTTGAAAATATTTACAAAACTATGCTATTTGAAGAACATATTCATATAACTATTTGAAGGCAAACAATCATAAAGAATTGTTTCAATTTGAACATTAACAATGTGTGTGTGCCATGATTACGATTGAATAATCAGGGCCCGCGCTAAGCATTCGTCACCTCAAGAAATACGATAAAATCATAAATATGGAGAATAAAATTTTGCTTTGGTGAAAGTACTGGCGAGTGATTTTGTCAATGGAAAGAAAAATATATATTTAACTCGATCCTCAATATTACGTCAAAATTAATTTTTCTGAACAAATCAGTATTTTTTATTCGATTACTGTAATTTTCGGTAAATACGCCCCACAGCCAGTTTGAATTGGGTCCAAATAATATAAGCTTGAAACGAAATACAGTAAAATTGTTTTCTACTTGTAATAAATTAATCATAAAAATTTTTTACGATTTGCATTTGGCGAAGACTTTTGAAAATCGGCGAATACTTTTTATATTTGGCATGAAAAATAATAATAAAGTGTGTTACTTTTATAAAGTAGCGCAAAAAACGCACATATTATCAAGTATTTGGGGGACAAGATGTGGTTGAAATATAAATACGATACTTTTATAACGAAAAATAATAATACCGTGCGCTACCACTTCTATAATACCGTACGTTACTTTTATGAAAATAATAATAGCTTGAGTTACTTTTTTAATGCAATGCGTAACTTTCATAAAGTAGCTTATAAAAAGGCACACATTATCAAGTAATTAGTGTACAAGGCGAGGTAGAAATATAAATGCGTTACTTTTATAGAAGCCGCTTCTTGTAATGATGTGGCAACTCTGGCGTATCCTTTCACAACACCTTGACTGACGGGTACACCTGAAAATGTTTCGTTATAACTTCTACTGTAGTAAATGAACATGTAAATTGATGCTACCATGAATGACCGAAATCAAGAGAATGTCAACATTCACCAGTGAATGTCAACAATCACATAGTCGCTTTGGTGAATGTCCGAAATATTTGTTATATCTGATTCGATATTAATTTATTCGATATTTTAATATCCGCTAAGGATAGAATAGGAGAAACATCAGTGTTCCGGGCAGTGGCATTAAACCTTAAAAAAAAGCATTGATGTAGGGCATACCGGGCAATGGCATTTTACTACGGGCATTTACTAAAGCGACAATGTAATTGTCAACATTCACAGGTGGAAGTCTTCCAATTTCAGTCATTCACACTAACATCGACATGAAACAAACGAATTTGATATTTACCTTGCATATTGAGGTCTGCTATGTAGTTTGGTGTCTCTGATGAATCTTCGTCATCCTTTATAAAGAATGAAAATGGAAGAAAAATATGTAAAAGAGGATAGAAATCCAACAAAAATAACAACAAATTAAAAGAGATTGCTCATTGGTTAAGTCATTTTTAAGTACTGGTGGAAAGTAAGGGCTGCCTATGTGATACACTGACCCCATTTACACAATAATGCGATTGGTCACAAAATTGTGGAGTTCTTAACATCAATCAACCCCTTTGGACCAAAACTGACTGTTGCTGGAATGATTTTTCAAAGAGATCCAAATTAAAATAAAGCATACTTTAAGCTACACTGATTAAATAAAAACAACTGAAATAAAGCACAAAAAGTGACATACTGTAGTTTCAGTTTTCTAATAAAAACCTTCCTCTATATCGAAACACAAAATGACAGGAGAAAGTGCGAGACAAACTAAATTTCACAATCCCTAAAGCCTTTATAACTTATATTAAGTTTATTGCCACTGTGGTCTTGTATACTTTTTATTTTGTTTTATTACCAGCGTTGAACAGCAGACCGAATTCTGAGTTTACACCTATCAATGTTCAACTCCGTAGCCTTGTAATTTCGAACCCAACCCAGAATACAAGGACAATCCTGGATTAAGTATTTTGGAGAAACTTACCTACGTGGTAGACTTTTAGATGGAACTAACACGCATTTGTGTTGCATGGCTCACAGTATATTTTATTTAATTACCGGCTATCCCATTTTTGTTTTAACAACAGCTAATGTTAATAACAATGATGTTAATAATCTTAATAACGCCTTTAAGTCAAAATAAACGTATCCTAAAAACTTCGACTTCAAATAATATGAAAAACATGTCGAAAATCAGGATATTAAACAATCTTCAATTGTCCTTCATAGTTGTAATTCTAATCATAGGTTTGAGTTTATTTCTGCGATAACCATTCAGCTCTGTTCCTTCTTTACAGACCTAGAATTCAGAGGATCATTCTATACTTTTAAAAATTCTTATAATTTTGTAAATGATATTTCAAGTATTCTGTTATTTTTAAATGCTTGGAAATCTATTTTAATTTAATTTTAACCATTCGCACACATATGGTTCTCTCCTCCCAAAACTCTCTGATTAAGGCCTTCTTTTATCATCTTGTTCAAGTGTATTCCCCTCTCTCTCTCTCACTCTCTCTACTGTTTAAACTCCCTTTTTCCTTATTGCAACGAGTTTAATCCCTACTTTCTTCTTTCCTTTTGTGTTTAGATACTGATGAATGTCATTAGTATTTATGAAACCAAAACTACTATAGTTTGCTTTTTTGCCTTTATTCGCGTTGTTTTGCTATTTTCATACTGAAAGAAACTGCAAAAAATTTCTACAGTGAACAATCGTCATACTTTAAAGAAAGTCATTTAATACTCGGAGTTCTTACTGTCCTTCAGAGTTTCTGTCATTTCATAAAATAAAGTTTTTAATAAATAATGAACTACTTTCATAACTGTTTTGATGTTGCCAACTGTTTAAAATGTTCGAAGAAAAAAAAATTCTGAGGCCTTTAGTTTTTAAATGTCTACCACTCTATTAAATTTTTTGCAAAAAGCTTAGCAATTGGCAGGCCTATGATCGATTATTATATTAAGCGGATCTTTTTCCCATTCATCAGAAACTTAGTCGATGTGGTAGTAGCGCAAGGTGGTAAATACAAATGGCTGTGAGGAGGAAGGCGACGATTCTTAATCAATGTGATTAACTTGTGTTAGCAGATAAACACGTGATTTAGTAACGATAAAATGAAGGATGTATACAGAAGACGACTACATCAGAGCTCAGGTCCGTATAAACTTTTAAACTCGTAGCAAAATTAATACTGCGTCGGGTTCTGGCATTCCTTGGAAACAACCGTGCTCAGTTACAGCAGTGTAGGTAACTTGTACGGTTAGTCCTGTGTGTTTGAAATGTTTAACAAATCACCCGCCGCGTATGAAGTACGGTCATTAATGCGTTTCTAGTCGACAAGAAATCTGTCTGCTGCATGCATTCACCGGCAGATTTGTGAAGTTTAAGATGCTTCCTAATGTCATGCTGGCAGGAAATTTTGCTATTCCATGACAATGACTCCACAGCTCAGTCCTGAGCTTTATTGGACTCTATTGGCTGGGAAGTTTCGAACCACCCTTTATACAGCCCAGATCTTGCGTTTAGTGATTTTCATCTTTTCCATTGCTTTAAATATCATTTTGGCTGCAACCGGTACAATGATAACGAAGACGTGAAAACGATCGTGACCACTCTGTTATCGGAGCAGGGGACAGGTTACTATAAAGAGGGTATTCTAGTTGTGTAAGGTACTATGATAAGAGTTTAAGCAAACTTGGCAACTATCTTGAAAAACAACAAGAAATGTATGTAGAATCAAAAAATAAATTTGCTTCATGAAAATCATCTCTCCTTTGGTTTTTATTTTCAAACGGCCTTTACTTAAAAAACAAACCTTGTACTTCTTGCTCAATAAAACGGAAATCAATATTATTAAACCCAGAACACAATTTTAGTTGTATAGTGTTATAATTTTGGCAATCCTTAAATTCATATTAATGTTGCCTCCCCTTCTGAGCAAATTATTTTTTGCTCTTTTTTGGCATAAATTACGAAAAAAAAGAGAGAAAAAAAATGTGTATTAAATGTGGTGAACACTAACCAAACACTGTTTGCATATTAGGTATTTCTTATACTTACTGGTTTAGGGTAACCCCGTATGATTTCTGGAAGTGTGTACTTTTGCAGGGTGGGGAATATTTTCCTCCTCTGTTTAGCCCTAAATAAAAAATCATCATGAGAAAGAAAGCAATGTTTAATCTATTAATTCTGGATGCCCGACGGAGAACTAACTGGATTTTATAATTAAATATCTTAAAAACAAAGAATTCTAGAGAAAGGAAACAAACAATATTTTTATTGAGAGCTATGAAACTTTTATATAGTAATTGCGGAATTTAGTTATAAAAAATACCAGCAGATGGCGCGAGAGATGTGAAGAGCTCTTGAAAAAATACAATTGCTTGGAGTGTAATCAAACCTGAGGTATTCTAGTTAAAAAACGCATGAGTGATGCTCTCATGGACATTACTATTTCCTAGTTTTTAAAATTTCTTTAATTTCATAATTTTAATTTTTTAATCATTCTTAATCCTATTATAATTGAATTAAATAAATTGTTTAATTTTATTACATTTTACAAAAAGCAAATATGAATAAGTTTATTATTTTCCTTAAAATCAATGTAAAGGCTAATTTTAAAATTCTCAACAAATAATTCATTAATTCAGTGTTATGACTATACTAAATCGAATATCAAAACCTATTTTTAACTAGCTACTTTATCTCTCTAACCACAAAGTTCTAACCAAATTATTTAAAATTTAATATTACTAACACGGGGTCGGCTTTGTTCTTGGCTATATTTTCGATCGATAACTCGCCAAATTGTGAATCTTTTTCTATGTTCATAAGTGTCCGCTAGCAACTATTCATGCTCTGGTAATTTAAAATTTTTGGACTCAGGCTTAGGACTGATATTTTGTTTGGATGTCTGATGGCCCCTCAGTCCGATCGTTTATAGTAATAAAATTGTTAGATAAAATGGATAAAATTAGCTATTTTCGTCTCACTAAAAGAGATGATGCTTGATATTTTAGTTTGTTATTTTATAAGTAGGGCCATATTTGTTTTGTTAACTTTAAAAATGCATCATAATAAATCAAAAAATATTTGCTTGCAATATCTCTGTGGTAATTTCGCTTTCGGTACAAGCACAATGTACTAGGAGTTTCTCATACAATCATGCTTCGATAACATGGTGTCCAATAGATATTTCGATAACAGGGTATCTCCTAACCCGGTACGGCAACCTCCTTTAGCCTGGTTTTTCGAAACTCTTTAGCCATCAAAATGAAGAAAATAATGCCACAGTTTAAGTGGTGCCTTACAATTGAAACAAAGCTATAATTTAATTTAAAACCCTGGATTCCCCCTTGCCGTAAAGAAATATCAAAACTTTCGAACAGGCAAATAACTTATATTCTTAAGTTATTAAGCTTTTTTTTTTAAAAAAAAGAATCATCAATTTGGCGACATTTTTCCGCATAGTTGAAAATTATCAAAATTAATACCTTATACCTATTTTTATAAACCAGGTATTGCAACATTGGAGCAACTTTTTATATATTAAGAAAATTCGACTACAAACGCTTTTAATTTTATCAAAACTGTGGCTTTTCTTCATTTTTATATTTTGCTCTATTTTCAGAAAAATTACAGAGAGTGCTAGTTAAACATAGACTAAACTTGACTTAACACTCACGAGTAAGTGTGACGAGTAACTACCAGCAATAATGAAAATAGTATATTATTCGCAAAAAAGCTTCACTTCATGTGATAGCTCTGGTAATTAGTTAAGCACAACGCCATCTTTTGACACGTTTTAATACTAATTTCCAAAATTTCTGCTTGATATTTTTCACTTTCACAATAAACAACATATCATTTGTTTCATTTCTCTTTTGCCTTTTGTTTCCGACAGTTTAATTTTAGAATCAGTCAGTCTCGATATATAAGCAATTGCAAGAAAAAAAAATCAATGTCATCAATAGCAATCTATGACTGCATAAACAATACCTGATAATATGCTTCGGTTCTCTCGTTTTCAGAAGACACTTAATTTCGTCAAGCGTCAAAAAGTAGAGTAAATCATTGTCCAGGATTCGTCCTTCTGATACCATTTGTTGTGCAAGACGCCGGAATCCTTTCCTCCAGTAGTCCATGCACTTTATGATCAGAGACTATAAAAATTATGTTAACATTTATTTGGAATACTGGACAATGAATCAAATAAAGAAAAGTAATCGATGAAACTTTTACTTTGGTGGTTTCACGGCAGCTAACACCTTTGCAACAATTTGGGATGACAAACCTCAGTAATAGTCTGAAAATATTTTTTTAAGAATTTAATATTAGCAATAATCTCGAGCATTATACAACTAAATGTGACTTGTATTAACATAATGTATAATTTTTGAACATTTAATTGATTAAAAAATTGAACTGAATGAACTGAAATCATCACCCTACTACGGCGAAGCACCTAGCTCCATTTTAAGGACAATATTTTTTAAAGGCCATGGTAAGAATACCATGCAATTTTGATTCTGGTCAGACGACGTGGACAATGCTTTAGCCCCTCACTCTAACTTTCACATTACAACTAATGAGAGAACTTTCAGGAACGACAGATTTAATATTTCTTGAGTTATAAACTTGTATTTTATAAAAACTACTTTCTCTTAAACAATGTAACCGATTTCTTATGATTTTTAATTTTTTCATTTTAAATTTGATATTTTTTTTGTGATGATACAATATATTTGCTTATAGATAGAAAAAAAATTTCCGATCGCAATTAAATTTAATACATAAAAAAGAAATTCCATTACATGTTATTTTCTTTCTATAATCTATTTTTTTATGTGTGTAATATTTCTTCTTAATATTAGTGCTATGAATGAACATTCTAGATTAAATATTGTTAGCTTCATAGTTTGAAAACGCGAATCTAAATCTGATGAGTTAAAACTGGGTTCGTAAAAGCCTTTATCATCTGCTATAATTAAGGATTGCTTTTTGAAAACATTTAAGATTTCAGCATGAGAGGTGAAAGTTGAATGATTAAATTGAAAGTTACCCTCTAAAAGTTCACTATACATTTATTAACCATAAGGCTGAAACAGTTTTATCTACATTGATGGCACCATGCCGAAAAACACGAATGTATCAGCAGTCACAGGTAAAAGTTCGCGTTTTTGGCATGGTGCCAAAGATACACAGTGATGAGGAAGGGCACCTATTGAAAAAGTAATTTTGCGATGAATTACTTCATTTCAAAACAAGAGTTTATATATAACGTATCATATTAAATATAAAACTCTTGCTTATATATAAAGCAGCAAATAAAGAGTCACGAGGAATTTAAACTAATTCTCTGTTATCCCACAAGAAGCGCATTGAACTGATCGTATAGACACCGTTCCCAGCGGAACACTAAAGCCAAGCATCACTGTCTGCAGTCAGAAAGCAGGAGGGTGACCACTTTGATCTGCCTGCACGGGGACCGAGGGTGCGTGGTATCGGTTCTCGTTAAACTATTCGACCGTGAAGTGCTTAACTTCACGAGCAGGAAGTCGGGCTACCAAAGTAGGGGAGCCATCCCCTCTGCAGAGGATCAAAATTGCGATGACATGTCTTCGGATCATCCTCAAGGATGTTTCCCAGGCAGTCGTCAATAGCTCGTTGTGCAGATCTAGTTCGACGTAAATAGAGTACCTTCCTACCTGTCAACCCACAATGCTCGAAACATTTTTCAAAATGGAACTATTTTTTGCTTGAAAAGCATAGATGGTCACATCCACACTAATACACGAATGTTTGATATTTCAATCTAAAATACAAATCACCGCACAAATTAGATGGCTTTTACTGTGATAGCTAGCAGAAGGAAATATTCAAGCAGTTTAGATCTTGAAAGGACTGAAATCAAGAGAGAGTTTTTCTTTCATCGGTAAATGTCAACAATCACATAGTCGCTTTGGAGAAAGTCCGAAAAATTTGTTATATCGGATTTGATGTTAATTTATTCATTGATATTTTAATATCTGCTGAAGGATACACAACAGAGTTCGGTGTACCAGTTATAAATGCATGCAGTGGCACTGAACCTTAAAAAGACATTGATGTAGGGCATACCGGGCAGTGGAACTTAACTAGACCTAGTATATATTTCGGAGATTTACCAATGCGACTATATGATTGTCGACATTCACCGGTGGAAATCAACAACCACGCGTTTCGCTTATTCATAGTAACACATGTGCTATAAAATTTTTCGTGAAAATAACTTTTAAGATCACGGCAGCTGTTATGTTAAATTAGGCTTAGAAAGGTAGAAAAAACTAAATAATTCAAGCATTTTTTTAAAAGTATATTTGTGAAAAAAATATTGATGCGACATTTGCGTGTATCGAAGTTTATTACCTGTACCAAAAACTTAAAGGAGTGCTCAGCTCTGAGAATAATTCACTGTAACTTTTAACGGCCTTTTTGATTATCTCTTTTGTGCTGCCAACTGAAGCCTGCAAAAAAAAATATGAATCACCCAGAATCATTAGATATGCATTTACTGCATGATGACACTTTTAAAGAGTATGCATGCAATTATCCTAATTCTATAAGTTTTAGCCTTTAAATCGATACCAATTTATTAAAACTTTTACAGAATCGGAGCAGTTGGCATCCTTATGTAATGTATTAGTATTTTAATAAACTAGAATATTGTCCAGCACTATGCAATATCATTTAAACTAATATATTAAAAATCAGATACACAAATAATCGTGTAAAATTCGAACAGAATTTTTTAACAATCGTGTTTACTTTCTGGTTCAGTTCATTGCCACAGGAAAAGTAATTGTTTTCATATCAAGTGCTGAAGGATATATATGCGACATCTAAAATAATAGCTCAGCAAAACCTAAGAAGAATTATATTTCTTAGACTAGCTCTTCTAACAGATAATTACATTAAATAATCTCTTTCACGTAATAATCGAAGCACTTCTCGTATAAATTATCATTAATTAGACAGAAATGCAATCTTTATTTTTTAAATGAATCCACGCTGTGCAGTAAAACGTCTTTATGAAAGGGAAATATCATTCAATTTAATAAATATTTTGGGATTTAAATGCATCGTCATCCGGTCTTATGATTAAATCTTACGGCGTCAACCCAAACAAAGAAGTCCTTGTTATCGATCACATGACATGAAAGAAATAATAACTATATGCTGCATGTGAAAAAAGTGCGCACTTGTCTTGTGCGCCCTGTGAAAGTCTTCAGGAGCCTCTGTTCCTGTTCAGTCATTTGTAAATAGTTTTCTTTAATCATTTTCTCTTCATAAATGTTAAATAAAAAATTATAAAGGAATCATCATTATATTAAAGTCGACTGCAAAATAAAAATCTGACAAATTAAAATTAAAATTGAACTAATCTCTGATATTTTTGTCCTAAAAGGTTAACTCGGCACCATAGCATAACATGCATATGCATTTCAATATCTTTCCATTTTACTTTATATGGATTTTCAAAATTGTTAGAACTACCTACTTACCTTTATAAGTTTGATTAAATCCTTTTGATCTTCTTCCCATGTTATAGAACTTATAGCAAACTAAATGAGAAGGAAAAAAAATTATTAATTACTGGCATTAGTCTACAATTCGATGCGATAGAAAATTATAAGAAATATACAACCTCTTTTAAACATCTGTGGCCGTGTTTTGCAATGAAATTCTGATACAGTTTACTTGACTTTGTATTTGAATTATTCAACCAATTCTCTGCCTCCTATAAAATTGTAAAATTAAAAAACACCTTTAAGGTTTATTTCAAAAAATACGAGGCGGCCCCTGTTCATTCCCAAGTCCCCTGTTCATTGCCGCTCATCAACCCCTTTGATTGCTTCGCAATAACTGTTGTTTCTTGGTAGAAAACGGTTTTCTACTAAAGTTAAAATTATTCACTTAACATCCATGTACTAAAAAATATTATGTTTGGTTAAGCTTCTGTCTTCACTTCCCGCGTCCAAATATTATTATTTAGTAGTATTATAAATATTTAGATCTATTGGTGAACAGAAGTAGTTTTTTCTAACTAATCATTTTTTAAAATAACATTTATATTGTTATAACATTATATTGTTTAACCAAATTTGATAAATTCACTACCATAATTTAATATTATCGCTTACCAAACGGGCTGATATATTAATTACTATATATATATATATATATAGAAAGATATCAATTCAGACCGCAATTCAGAATCTTTTTTTATTTTATTTCCAATGAGCTGCACAATCGGTCTTGCCGATGAGCAGACCTAGTGCTTTCTCCAGAGGTGGTATCCATTCTTTCAGGATCACCACAATGGGTGAGATTCAGAATCTAACACCGCATATATGAACCAATCCAAATTTTGCAGCGGCAGGTGACTTTAAATTATAATTCTAGAATTTCGTAAAGATAGTCTTGTAGCGAAACTGCTGAGCGCTAACACAAGGCGACCAACAACAATTTAATTTTAAGCATTTTTAGTCACATTTTTGTAATTTTTAGTTTATTCAGACGGCAGAAGTTGCGTCAATTCAGATTTTGAATACTTCTTTACAATGGTGATTGACAACGTTCGTAAACTACCACCGAACTATTTAAGAGACTAAACAACTTTTTTCAACCAACCTTATTAAATCCCGTACTAAAAACTTACCTCTAAGGTCATGTCTTTGAACTTAGTCACACCAATATCTTTCACAATTTGGTTTGCAACTTCCTGCATTAAAAATTAGATTACAATTAGCTAATTAATCCTGGAATTATAATAGAAATAACACATTTAGAAAAATAATAAATAAATATTTGCCTGCATAGATGATGGTACTTCGGCGCTTTCCACGTCTGCTGTTGTCGCCAATATTTTCCCAAAATCACTGTAGACATCCGCGTCAATACCTGTAAGGGGAAAATAAAATACATCAATATGCTCTCTGCAATTCTCACCTTGTTTATTTATGCTATTGGGATTATGAGTGAGCTAAAAAATAATCCATCGTGATGCAACCCACTTAGGAAACCAGTTTTATATTCTCACACTATCTCACAAATATGAAGCGATAAGTTGTAAACGAAAACTGAAAAAATAAAGGTGAGAAAGAAATTAGAATAATTGCTATTATCCCAGAGAGACAAAAAGTACAAAAACAGAACAATAAAACCGCAGTGGACGAAAGGGGCAAATTACGGTAAAATGCATTTCCACGCGCCATGTGGTGAAGACTCATGACGTTGTTTACAAAGAAATCATATAAATAATAAAGCATAAAAATGCATTTTACCACAATTTGCCAGCTGGACCACTGCGGTTTTATTTTTGTTCTATTTTTTATCTTTGCTTCTGTCAAGGCCACTGTTTTTTTCTTCTTCTTTTTTTTCAGTTTTGCATCTGTACCGGTAACTGCTGGGTATTAATAAATGATTAAAAGACAACTGATAAAAAAATTAAAAAAAGGAATAATGGCCGGGTAAAACGATAAAGGTGTACATTTTTAGCGTTGTGCTGCAATTTGCAACCCAGAAGGAAATCAATTTTAAATCCAAGAGAATAATACATTTTACAAAAAAGACATACCTCTTATTCTCCATAGAAGTTATCTCTCACCTATAAAAATCAATCCACCAGTCTAAATGAAGGAGTCCAATTTTGGCACTAACATTTTTTTTTATTGAAAGATTTTTAAAACTCTTTAGCACATCTTAATATTAGTACAAGAGGGACAGCATCTAAATATTGGTACTAGTGGCACAGCATCTAAATATTGGAAGAATATTGGTACTAGTGGGTAGCTGGAGAGGGAGACTGAACTCTCAGAAAAATCTTGTAAAAGAACACGGATACGATCTGTGGGTTCCCTAACTCGATGTCAGCAAATCCACATACCACGGTAGGTGTCGACAATCAATCAGCATGCTCTTGCATCATGGTGAAGAGAAATAAATAAAAATAAAAAACTACTGGAAAAGGTTCAAAAAAACATCTTCAAAAAGGAACAGCTGCAGATATTTTGGAATTATCTTTAAATTAATCCAACGCTAAAAAAAGGGTAAAAAAAATGGCCGTGAAGGAGTCCATCAATGGCGGTGTTGGACGCCATGTAAAATTTTAAACCCTTTCCTCAATTGAGGAGGAAGGTGAAAAAAAAATGCTTCACAAGGGAGTCCGTACCTTAAGAATCAACTGAATTCGAATGCCCCGATCGCCTTTCGCGCTCTCACTTTTATCTTCTTGCTCAAAGTTAAAGTTAAATTACCTATTTTCAAAAAGTTGAGATGTTATCTCTATTATTTTACCAGCGTTACGGTTGTGACAAACTAACACTCGTCGAATCCTCATGGACGATGAAAAGAAACCGCAAACTGCTGTTTTCCGAGAAAGGATAGTGCTGAGGAATGTGAAAAGAATTTCCTGGGGGAGGATGTCTTCATTGTGCTAGCGCATTAAGGGGCGAGAAGAATGGGATCAGCAATTACAGGAATGGATCAGGAAATACTTAAATGGTATCAGAAATTAACAAATTTGGATAAAGATTCTAAATAAGACTTGTGATTTTAATAAAAAAATTGTGACTCGCTGTCACAGCATCCCACTTTTATTCTTACATTTTTCTTCGGCAACTTTACGTTTAATATTTCAAATGACTTTTGTTTCTTTTATTCGTGCCTATCAGGTTTCGAAAATGCCATACTTGTTGTTAGGCACTTGAAACATCACTACTGTTATTTCCTATTGTTATACATCTTTGCAGAAAATGAAGTATTTAATCAAGTAGCAATTCATGTTGTTTTTATTTCTCCAATTTCAGAACTCTTCTCCCAAAACTTAAAATATGCTCCTTCCTCCATACTAAATTGTATGAAAATATATTAGGAGGAAATTTCTCACTTATCATTTTTGTTTTTTCTTTATTTTATGCAAAATTTCCCCTCAGTTCAACAGTGAATTAGCACACAATATTACCAAACATAAGGAATTCTCAACACTGTTCTTAATTCCCGATTGCAGGTTACCCACTTTATTTAAAATGTTACTCTTATTTTTAAACTTGGAATTTCATCCAAAAAAAATTATTAATGTGCAATCAATAAAACTAATGTATTCTAAAGTAAAAACCCTTCAATAATAACTGAGATTTCCGTCGAAGCTCTCCTTCATACTGCATAATTTATCAACAAAAAAAATCACGTTTTTTTCAATCTTAAGGTAGGGGAAGCCCGGGCAAGATGAACCGCTTAAGGAAACTTGGTTCAAAAAATAGTAAACTAGAGCAATTTTATATCTTTTATATTGTAAACATATAGTGGGAACATTGCTCTTACATATCTCATACAGAAAATAAATAAATAATAAAGTTCCATAATAATAACTTAACATAAACAAAAATAGAAGATTGTCCCATCTTGCCCAGGCTACCCGGGCAAGATGGGACACATAATTATATTTCAAAAATCACTGAATTAATGTCAGAATAAAAGAATAATCGACAAAAAAAACGTTCCTAAACATCACAGTTACTGCATAAGAAGCGGCCAAAACCGGAATAGGCAGTGCACGCTTCATGAGCCCATTCTAAGCAATCTGAATATTGTCTGTCAATTAATTAATTATAAATTATTTTTATAATTTTTTTAAATAATTTGTTAAGTAATATTTGCTCGTTCATATTTCTTTTTGTTAATAACTATTACCTTATTTTTTATGCTTTTTGCCAAATCCGGAGAGTTTAATTTTTATATTACACTTTTGTTCTACTTTGGCTGTCCCATCTTGCCCGGATAGTAAAATTTCTAAAAAAGATATCCGCAAATTTGTTAAAATAAATAAATTTTAATTTACACTACTCATTATGTTTGTACAATAATAACACTACATGGCCACAAATTTGAAAAATTTGTTGCAATGTATTAAACAAATAATATCAGCATACAAACCTGGAAAAATATTTTTCCACGATATAAGAAAAACAAAACAATGCTTGCATTTCGGCAACACCTTGTGAAATGACGAAAAAACTTGTGCGTATTGAGAACAACAATTTTTTCTGTCCGAAAACGCACTTTAGATGTCGCTACCGGGATGCGCATCGAAAAAAAAGCGATGTCCCGTCTTGCCCGAGCTTCCCCTAAGTGTAAAAGGTGGAACATAACTTCTCAAACTTTTGTATTTGTTTTTAAAAAAAGAAGTTAAAGTTAAGAAATTTGTTTTTGTTAAAATCATTAAAGATACAGCAGTTGTTTTTATTACCCACATTGTCCTTGAATAAATTAAAACTCAAAATTTTATAAAATGAATTAAAGCATAAATTTTATTCAATACAAAGTTTTATAGTTCATTCAAATTCAACCCTAAAATTTTATAACTGCTTTAAAAAGTCGGATTTAAAACAAAATGAGAGGGGGACAGGGTGACTTACGTAAGTAAAGTTGGTTTATAATTTGTTTACTTTTGCTATAAGACGGTAGAGGTTAGATTCGGGAGGAAAGAGATATTGTTTTTAAAAATTAACGATATTTTCCAGATTTTACGAGCAGCTGCTATACATTTATTTTAATAAGCTTTTAAAAATAAAGGCGTAGAAAAGCACTCACATCCTTTTGCTTTGACTAAAAGGGCGAAAAGAATAGAATTCCAGTGTGAAGAATTCCCAGAAGAAATCAAGTGGCGAATGGCTGGCTGAAAAAAAAGAACACACAAAAAGAACATGTTGTACCCACTGCTAATATGTGAAAATTTAAAATTTTAGTCATTTTTTTCGAGGATTTAATTTAATTTTAAATTTTTAAACAAATATCAAAAATCATTTTAAATTTTTTCCTAAAATGCCTAAAATCGAAAACATAAATTGTAGTAATATACGTCTTCTAAAGAGACACTTGAAATAATTTTCAAGACTAAATTTAGATGGCTTTAGGTTCAAAAACTAAATTTAGATGGCGCTTCAAGTGTAATTTTTATTTTTATTTGATACTTACAATGATTCATTGAGTCTTTAATACCTGATAAAAAAATAGGGAATTCAAGTCTTTCATTATTTTTTTCCTCTTTTGTTCATTCTACAAGTTATTACGCGTTAATCGTTTTCGAAAATAATATATTCCTTCGACATAACTATGTCGCTCTCACGGTCACCCGATTTTCCCGCTCTTCACATTTCCCCCATTCCTCGTTACATGGGCTATGGATAATCTTGCTTTCTCCCCAAGGCAGTACTTTATTAAATATACTATCGATGGGGGGGAAAGCAAGAACTGCCGAGACGATGGTAACGAAGAGGGTGAAAGTGTGGAGATTGGGGAAATCGTTTAACCAGGAGGTACTTGTTTTATCTATACATCTATACATAATAATAAACGCGGCTGTGTGTGTGTCTGTAATCACAATAAATCGCCCCAGAAGCCTCACCCAGGCACGAAACTCGGCACATAATTGTGTTTTGACATAATGAAGAAGTATTTTTTTTCTTTTTCAAAAATTTGGATTAGTTATTTAGTTATCAGTCATTTTGTAAGTCTATGCTTTTCGTCTGCTTTTTCGTCTTCAAAGAGCCATATTCAAAAAACTATTAAAAAATGCATATACTTTTCCCCACTCTTATAAATGTATGCTAATGCGAACCTTACAATTGAAATATTAATTTTCGACAACTTAAACCAATAATATACGAAGGAATTAATAATTTAATTGTAAAGTTCGCATTAGTTTACATTTATTAAAGTGGAGAAAAGTTTAACTTTTGTATTAAAAATGTGGCAACATATTCGATACGTAAATAGAACGCTTCGCTTTGATATATTTGTCGCTGTTCATAATTGTTATAATAAGTTTTTCTTCTTCTTTCCACGCTCTATTTTTTTTTCTTAAGCGAAGACGATAATTTTTGTAGCGATATAGAAATAGAAATTTATACCATAAAAAATTAATTCGTTTTCGTGTTCTTTTCATGTATTTAGCATTTTAGTTTTTTTTCTCTTAAGCATTGCAGCTATATAATATATAAAATAGGAATTTAATTGTTTTTGAAGGAACGATCACACTTACCTTGGATCTCTTCGGTTTTTCCATTCTTTATTTTAACAGTTTCTATTAAATGTAATCAGTTATTTTCAGAAAGTTTCAGTTTGCAGGTAAGCACTTAGATTTTAATATTGAAGTTTCATGATTTGCTTTCATAGTAATTGTTGTTCTAAAGTATTCGTTGACTTCTTCAAAACCCGATTACTGACATGGCAGAACCGCCTTCCAAAAAACTTTGTATTTTGTCAAAGAAAAAAATATTAAGAGATTCTCAAAGAAGAAGAAGGGCCCAAGAAACGTCTGTGAAACGTCAAAGAAGGGTGGAACATAACCGAATTTCGACAAGCGGTTCTAGAGCCCAAGAAGCATCAGAGAAACGTCAAAGAAGATTAGAAGAGGTTTTCAGCTATTGGCCAATTATGATTTCGAAAGCAACTTTTGTATGCTTTTACAATTTCTGATGCCTTTTTTTTAATAAAAAAAACAAGTCTCCACCTGATAGTTATATTATAGGTTAGGTTACCATAGGCCTTAGGTTACCATAGCAAAGTTACATCTTCAAACATCCTCAAGAGCTATAACACATCTGCAGCAGAACTGGATATGAAGACAAAATTGCAGGACAGGAACACTTTAATTGTCCACTAAATTTCAGATTTCCTGCTATGTTTTAAAAAACTTAATTTGTGAAAACCTTTAGAGTGGCGGACAGCTAGCCGCCTTTGTCGGCTAGTTTAATAATAAGTGCACTAGCCGAAGGGTTACTTTGCGAATGTTTTCTTCAAAACTTATTTATCTTATTCTTTATGAATAAAAAATGTTTGGAACGTAATTATTTTTTAAATGTTGGGAAAAAGCAAGATCTATTGAAACAAAGGTAACGAAGAGAGGGAAAGTGTAGAGAGTGGAGAAATCGAGTAACCTTTAGGTGACTGTTCTATTAAGCAAAGAGTACACTAGATGAAGGATTAATGTGCGAATGTTTTCCTTAAAATTTATTTATCATATTCTTTACGATTAAAAATATTTCGGAACGCAATTATTTTTTAAACATTTTAAGCAGACGTTACATTTTAAATTAAATATTTTTTGAGTTCTAATTGTGAATTTCATGAATTCCACTACGCTTATAAGGGATACAAAAAATGCACTTTTTGTTGTAATGCTTACTTCAAAGAAGTCGGAACAAGATTTCATCAGAGCATTAAAAGTTTCTTCTGCAGTTTCGTATTTCATGAAGGGAAGATCGTAGTTTTCAACATTTTTTTTCGTGACTTCTAATCCTCGGGTGTATGTCAACAATTCCTGAAAAGTAAATGTTTTAAAGGCGAGCATACACACAAACATATGCTATCTGCAAAAAAACACGAGAGTAAAGTTTTGAATCAGCTGCAATTTACTTGGTCAACCAAAAAATATTTTCCACATTTTGAAGAAAGAAAAAATTTTCCTTTATTTTTCAAAGTATACTTTTTTAACGCATTCTTTGCAAAAACAGTCCATGCTTGAGCAATCGTACTTTATTGTAATAGAATTATTCGACATCGACTTGGAGAAATTTATTCTAGTGATAAGCTTAGTTAACAGAGAAGATTTTTATCTATTTATTTTTTTTGAAATTATTGCCAAGAGAGAAATAAATTATGAAATTAAAAACTATGCATGCTTTATAAAGCATACTTTTCTTTAAAGTATATATTTAATAAAGTATAATTCTGTTTTACGTATTTTATACCTTTCTTTAACGTATAGTTAATAAAGCATATTTTTCATTAATGCATTCCTCGCAACAGCAGTCAATTCTTGAGTAAACACATCTATATTATATAAAACGCTAATACGTACGTATGTATGTATCAATAAAACCGATGATATTTCTTTTCTCGCGCTGGCAACAGTTTTCATTTATTGGTTGGATTCGGCGCGCAAGAGCACGTAGTGAGCAACCAGATAACAATAACCAGAGTGAGCATTATCAGGTTGTTCAATTCAGATTCATGCACTGAAAACATGACAATATTTAATTTAAACTCAATTGGGTATAATATGAAAAAAACACACAACTACTTCGATTTAGTAGGAACAACATATGACGCAATGCTAAACGAATGGAATTTAGTTGTTGTTTATTTAGTTATTGTTATTAGTAGTTGTTGTTATTTGTTTTAGTTGTTGTTGTTTATTTAGTTGTATTTAGTTTCAATACATTTTCTTTATAATGCAATAAAATCTGGCGAGCAGCTATTTGAACGATCGAACACTTCGTTTGTTTATTTGTGGCTTGAAGTTAGGCTCGCAGAAAATGCCGTTCATGGGTTAAATTTAGTAGGAACAACACAA